TCGCCATGACAAGCGGCGCTCTCTGCCTATTGTTGGTGTTCGTGCTACATCAAGGAGCTGTTTATGTAAGCAAATCCTTTGCGAAATATCTATTGTACTGTATTCATATTTTCTGAAACAAAGCATTTCATTCAACTTAAGTGACACTATTGACATTTATTCACATATATTATTTTTCTACTTGCCAAACGCGCTGATGCAATAACAACAAGATGCCGTCGACAAAAAGCTACAAGCAACAGTCGTACGCCTGAAAGGCAAAAAGCCGGAAGGCGTCCTGCAAGAAGCTGAACTACAGCTCCCCTCGCACAGGCGTCCCGGAATGCAACACCAGGAGCCTACAGGAAGCCCACCTTCGATTTGAAATGCAATTAATCAGCCGTAACGTCTGGGTTTAAAGGTCTCGTTCCGTTACTTTTGAGTCCACGTCCGATTGCAACACAATGAACTGACTCTTGTTTGATATTATATGATGTGATAGGATTTGACTAACCAGAGCCAAATCAACTTACCTTCTGTTACCACGGTGATTCCCTAACATTAATCACAATATAGTTGCCAATGCATAGATGTTGAAGAGAGATCATGTTTATTAAAATGGTTCCATTGGCGGCGGAAAAAAACTCAATTGAATAACAGGTTTTACAGAATCCTAAAATATTGATGTTCCAGGTTAGATATGAATATCAGATCCATTTCAGTGAGGAACAGAGTAACACACCCGAGCCTATTCTTAGAGAGAAGAAGCATTTTAAAGATCGATCTTTTGTATCAGGGACTATTCTGAGTCGTTGAGGATTTATTATTAATTATGTGCTAAGATGTTTCACCTCTGTGTTTGTGTCTATATACCGATAAATAAAGACGACTCAGACCGTGTGCGAGGTCGGAAATTGTTTCCACGATTACAATCTACAAGTGGCCCCCTCAAGGATTCCCCTGAAGTGCTGCGGAGAGCCTGAGGGTCCACCAAGTCGTCTCCATGGAAACCGGCTCCGGATGAAGTGGGCCGGGACTACTTCACCCAGTACTCAAGAGGCGAGAGCATCCAGAGTTCAAGTACATTTTGGGTCGACTATGCGACCACTGAGACGTAGAGAAGCATTAAACAGTTCATGGCTTCAGCAGCAGGCCCCCTGATCACTCCCCTCCCACCTCACACACATTACGAGCCAATGTCATCTCTCATCTGCTACAAACCGATGCCGTGATCAGCTGCTGTCACCTGGAGCTCGAGACACCGGATCACCGATCCCCGTTCCGCTCGTCCAAAACACCGCTTTATTTATTCTTTTTTTTATTTGTACTTTTTACTGCTGGTAAAGCTTTATCCATTCAGAACATATTCATATTTACACAAAGGGCTTGGAAGGTTAAGTGTGTGGGAGGAAGCGTTACGCGTCATTAATATTGCAATAGCTGCATCTGCAATGATTACGTGCCGCTGGCAGCCAGGCCGGGTCGTCGGGGGCAAAGCTCCGCTCAAGGGCACATATTTGACACTCCATTAGACCGCCTGGAGTGGTACAGTTTACTGAGTGCTGAACAGGCTCAATCAGCTGCTGGATGACCCGCGTTTCAGGTGGCAACCAGTAATAATAGCAGCAAACAAGCTTGTTCTGACGGCTTCTATACAGCTAAGCTCTTTATTTATAGACAAGCCTCAATCATTGTTTATATCCAGCGAGTATATTTTCATCTCAAGTGCAGCTTTTTGTGTCAGAGAAGCGGCGAACCTTCTTCGCGGGGCAAAAGGACGACAATTTGTTGAGATGGGACGTCTGGTATGACATTACTTATGTACTGAATGGTGTTGTTTCCATCACTGGAGGTAACTGGGTGTCAACTAAAAAGCAGCGATGGGTAAATTTACAAGATGAGACTGAATACAGCCGATCATCGGAGGGACGTCATCACGCGTCTCAAGATATGGAGAGAAGTAGCGATCTCTCACATGGACCTTTTGACCACTGCTGTGGCAGAACAATCTGCTATTAATTAAGAGCCTTAAACGCGAGCGAGCCTCGCCGCTCTCCATAAACAAATTCTACGGCTATTGAACACAACGTAAATAATTGATAAATCGATTGTTAGAGAAGCTTTAGATTTAGATGACTTCAGACCGGCGAAAAGTACAATTTAAAACCTTGAGCCAAGGGCCTGAAAAGGAAATACATCCACTGTTCGGGACATCTCAGCAAAGTGTTGTCTGGAAACACAGAACATAAATAAATAAATGTGACTTTTATATACAGAGCAGGTTGGAGTTTTACCCAAAAGATTATTTATTATATTTCAGGGGGGGGGGGGGGGGGGGCGGAACCGGGAGGGAAGAAAAAAAATAAAGCAATGCAGCTTTTGATTTATATTCAAATGAGAAGTATACAGGGGGAAATTGGATTCCTCTTTCATTTCAGAGAACGAATTTCCTGTTGGCGGATCGCGTTGTATCATCTCGTGGCGTTAATATCGCGCTCTGAGCGCCAGGAGCGTTTCTTCATCACAAAGACTCGGCGGAACTTTTTACACCTCGTCGGCACACAGAATGCAACCATCATTTACATTTCCAATGTTCAAACAATACCCCGGAGGGCATTTAGGACTCGTTTTTTTCTTCACCCATTTTAATTCACACATGAAAGACGATAACATATCAAAGGAGTTCTGCTTCCAATTCAGAAGAGAACTTGTTTCTGCTTTAACCGCCGGGGCCGGTTCGGCCCCTCGGAGCGAGCCAGCCGGGGGGGGGGGGTAAGTGAGTTCAGCTCGTTACGCCGATGAAAACTTCTACAACGTTCACAACAATTCTAATCAGGGGAAAATACCATGACAATGACTCCAGAGAGGAGCTGAGCTGTTGGGGCAAAATAAATCCTGTAAGGCCTGATTGGGATTTGGTGTTTGAAACACAAATACACACATGCTGTAATCCCCGGAGGACGCGTGCACGCGGCTCAAAGGCTTCTGTGACATCGCTGGTCGGAAAACACAACTGAAGAGACCGACAAAAAGAAAAAAGGCAGTCATTCCCATGGGTGCATGGAACCCAAGGGTGCTGTGTGGACTGGGCGTAAGGGCGGCAGTATGAGAGTAAAAGACAATAATGATAACAAATATTAGGGAAAATGAGGATTAACTGCATTCTTTTTTTTTAAACATCATAGTAAGTGATGAATATCTGAAACGTGCCTTTGTCCCACATGGGCGCTCACAGGTCGTCATTGGATACGTTTCCCAATTCTTGATTGTTCATTTTTTTAGACGCACAGCAGCAGTAATGGCTAATGTAACAGTGAATTATTTTGAAGGAATGTAAGAAAACAAAAAAGTATAAAGTATAACTTCCCAAACTACAAAGTGAAATCAGCACAACGCTTGTTTGACCATACAAAACATTTTATTAATTGACAAATCCTCCAAAAATGTTAAGTTAGAACTGGACAAATGTAGCATTTCTGCATTTAAAATAGATGATATCATTTCTTTTCCCATTAATTGATCAACAATTTGTAGCAGCTCTGAAGATTTGACTTCATCAAACCGCATAGGCTGAAAGAATAAACATAACCGCCCAGATCCAACAGTATACGATGAAGCTCGGTAACCACGGTGATCCATCATCGTCTTTAGTGGTCCAGGGCGGCAGATGTAGAAATGTGTATCGAGTTCTCTCTGACCCCCTCTGGTGGTTTTACACACGGCCTCAAAACACTGCTGCAATCAAATCCCCTCTTTTATCATATGACCAGCGATTAGTTCATTTAAGTGTTTTTTCACCCAAGTTAGTGAGAACAAAACAACACATTTATTCTGCTGCCACCAGATAAGACAAAACGGAATCCAATTTGGTTTGTGTCTTTCAGAAATAATGTTCTTCTTCTACCATAGAAAACATAGGAGGTAAAAATGTTAAGGGCTGCACAAGTTTAAGTTCCTTCTAAAGCTTTCTGGTCACAAAACAATTTCTTAGTTCTTAAAGGACAAAGATGATCTTTTAGAATTGTTTAATTATTTCACACATCAACGTTTTAAAGTTTTGATTTGTTTGTTGATCTTCTTCAATGTGTTTATTTTCGTGTAGTAAGATTTTAGTCACGATCACAAAACCCGGACAAATAAAACCAAAATTCAACAAACAGATTTCTTGAGTGCTTTTTTTTTTTTTTTTTTACATACATTTGGTTGATCTGAAGCCTTTTTGTCCTCCTTCAGTTCACGTTCGTCACCGTCTCGCATGCAAATAGCCAAAGTATGCAAATAAATCCGAGGAGTGAAGTTCTCTCATCACAAAGTTCATAAGAACATTGAAAGCCATTTGATTTCCGTTGTACGGTACATCCGTACTCCTTGTGTGATCACATGGGAATAATCCGCCGTGGTTCTCCCCGTCTTGGTCAAAAGAATAATGATATATTCCAAATATGATGCAACGATATTGTTAAGAAAAAGAAAATCAATCTGCCTGTTGGCAAGTCCATGGAAGAGATGCCCTGTTTGGACCGAGCGAGACACACGGCCAAAAGAGTCTCAGGACCACAAGAGACAAAAATTTTCAAAGTGAAGCTCCTAAGTGAAGATCCTAAATGGTTCCACTACGCTAAACAGAGGAGAGTGGCTCCGATGTTCCAAAAAGTGTCTCCAAAACGTGCTGTACCTTTGAGTCTCAGAAACCGGCAGCGCGTCTGCAGGATCGCAGAGCACTCTACAGTGGGGGCCTATTTCATTGCAGCACTTCAGAAGTTGCCAATTGCTCCAGTGGAGCTGCTCTGTGGCAAGAAGCAGAGGGTTGTGTGTGCGTGCGTGTGCGTGTGCGCGTGTGTGTGTGTGTGTGTGTGTGTGTGTGTGTGTGTGTGCGCGCTGAGCAAAGACGCTATAGTAAGCATGATGTTGCTGATAAAGAACACGTGTGGTCAGCAAAAACCAAGCCAAAAGAAAATGACTTGGAAAATTGTCTAGAGAGGCCTCCCAGTTACACCGTAGTTGTACCTCTACTATGCAAAAATAAATAAATAATGATGATAAAAGACCCCTTCAGTCGGACAGGCCTGCACCTCCTCCGGGTCGTGTTCACAGCGGCTACTTGGCGGCAGAATCCCCATCAGGCCTCATGCTGAAGGGCTCCAGGCGCTCGCTCTCGGGGAGCATGTTGTTGAGGCGCTCCATTAGCGGCACCGTCTGGTCAATGCCCATCTGGATGCGTCTTAGGATCATGGACATCTCGTTGACCTTCTGGATTTGCTCGGCGTACTTGGCGTAGCGTTTCTGGCGCTCCTGCATTATGCTGAACAAGGTTTCCACCGACAAGTCCATCTGAGAGCAAACAGTCGGGAGACAAGACTTTTCAGATACTACTACTACATACGGTTAATGCAATCCAACGGCACACTGCGCCTGCACCTCTCTGTAGGGCAATTAACATCTTGAAATCATGGAAAAAGAGGTGAAATCCTGACAATATCAATAGTCTAAATGAATGTACAGTTTAAAAAATATATTTGAACATGTAATAAATTGTAAGTCCCTGTAACTTAAGAATGCGAGAGATATTTCACATTTGCAGACAGTTTCATTGATTGCACAACATTTTTGATAATCAAGTTACATGGTAAACATCTCGTGCTGTACTTGTGCAGCCGTACCTCTTTGATCCTTTTGACCAGGGCATTCTGGTCGAAGGCCACGGCCTCGGCACACTGATGCAGGTGATCCTGGTAGCGGATGCAGAGCTGCAGGACCTGAGCAGCATCCAGCCTTTCCAGGCACACACTGCTGGGTGACGTCTGGCCACTCAGCACTCCTGTGGAGAGCAAAAATCAAAAAGGACTTTCACCCACATGTTTTAACAATTAACAACGTGAAGTATGCGTGAAGTTATTTAGGTGTAAAGAAAAAGGATCTGACAGAATTTAGCCACACAGGCTGATTACACCTTCGAACACAGCGCTGTGGGGCTGCAGTAAACCATCAAATGGCAGAGGTGTGCGGCAAACTGTGCCTATGGTGTGGGATTGTTGCATTAATGGGTTAGTTAGTCCCGATGGGCAGGTTGCCCCTGCTATCAGTGTATGATTGGGTGAATGATGACATTTAGTGTTTAACGTAAGTTCATTTAGCATTACTCACTTTGTTCCATGCAACAGACAAGTTGTATTCCTTTTAAATATGTATTTATACTAAAGTTTCTAGAAGCCATAGAATGTCAGATTATCAGACATCTTTCCAACTATAACTATCGGTCTGAAAGGTGACACTATGATTCTTGTCAGCAAGTTACCTTTTAAAAGCGGCTGGAAGGTGGGGATCTCCTGAAGCTTGATGACATCTGGGTCGTTGTGGATATTTCGCATTGATTGGGTCCCCTGAGCCACGACCACAATATCATCCATCTTTGCTTTCTGCTTTGCCGGAGAGGGTACGACTGCAACGACATAGTGCTGTTGATACTGACATGCAGCAGTTATTTCACTTCACCTCGTAGCATAAGTATTATCAATAAATGGTAGCCAATGGTACCCAAGGTTTGGGTAAAGGTTACTTCAGAGAATTTATTGGCACTAATTATATTACGTATACACTAAGTTAACGTCTATAAAAAAACTATTCATATCTTCTCTTCAGTGTTCGGGGTTATCTTACCCGATGAGCTGTAATCGGAGTGTTTGTGCTCCGCGTCTCCGCTCTGCTCGGCTCCCATGGTGCTGGCGTTTGGCTAGCAAGCTAACGTTAGCGGTTAGCTTTCGTCAACGTCTCCAGAGACGGCCGCGGGGTTCTTTAATTCAAAAGCGCGGTAACGATTATTAACCGTGTATGTAACCTTAAATACTTCCCGTGGCCTTGTTACTCACGAGACCACCCAAAAGGCAGCGATGTGGCTGGCTCTGAAGTTTCAAGCTAGCAATCTAACGTCAGCTGTTGTTGCTAGCGTGTGCCAGCTAACAAGTTAGCTTAGTTTTCTTTGAAGCTTACAAAGTGAGAGCTAAGCAGCCTGCTACGTCGGAGTGTCACCGATAGATTTTGAATTATAAAATGACCAATGTTTACGTGACACGATAAGACAGAAATGAAGGTAACGAGGGGACACTTCCGTCAATATTGGTCACGTGGTCTTCCTCTCGCAAGTTTCAATACAACATTACCGCCCCCTGCTGCTGAGGCCTAAAATAAACAGGACATTCTGCTGGGGAAATTACTCTATACTAAATACTTAATCGATAACTCTGATAAATGATTCTCAAACTGGGTTTTATTCATGTGTCAACTTTAATAACTGATTTTAAGAGAACTGCTCTTATATTATAAGTGTGGAAAAACTGGGATGATATGATGAGTATATATATATATATATATGAAATATAATATATATGTGTGTATATATATATATATTATATAATATAATATTATTATAATATATATATATATTTAGTATGTGTGAATAGAAAGTACTCCATATGCACATACTCTGCACTTTTTGCTATTTTGCACTTCTGGTTGGATGTTAAACTGCATTTTGTTGCCTCAGTACTTGTACCCTGTGCAGTGACAATAAAGTTGAATCTAATCTAATCATTCCACGTAAAAGGTCTGCACCAGTAAAAGTGTGCAGTCAGCAACATGTTCGACGAGGGAAAAAAAACAGACGTCTTTAACTCTGTAGATTTAATGAACAGGAATAAAGTCGTGCTAAGGCACAACTGGAATACAACTTAACAGCATCAACACTTAACAGCACTATACCAACATGTATCACTGTGGAAATAACATAGACACCATCAACAACATTTAAGAAACATGAACAGTTCTCTTTTAACACTGTTGGATTTGATATCTAACCATCTGAGTCTGGTCATTTATAGAAGTAAAACCGCTGTATTTAAAACCGTCTTTGTGTCTTGTAACTGACGACCGGATTATATGGACACTTAAAAAATATAATCCCAAAACAGGCTCATAGATTTACAAAAATCTATCTAGTAGAAAAGCCTGAAACTGAACACAAATAAATACTTAGATAACTCCTTCGACTGAGAACACAGAACTACAATGCAGGAGATTCCAGTCTTCACGCTATCCCTCTGTTCCTCTGTGCCTCGATGTTCTCTTCCACCAGCGGGTAGCGGCGCAAGTCCACGGACACAATGCGGCTGAACATGCAATTTTTAAACTGTGAAAAAGAAAAAAAATGTATTCACTGTATTGTCAGAACATGTAGAAATGAATGATTTTCTTCTTCTTGTCATAAAAGTTTGTTACATCTGAGTAGACTCCCAGCAAAGCGTCGGCTTTGGAGAAAAACTCCCCCTTCAGGGAGATGACGATGATCTGCATGTTCTCCCTAGACTCCTCTCTGATGAAACTGGTCACCTGGATACAAACAGAACACCCACCAAAGCTACGCACGGATATAACTCATTCAAATGAGACACAATAAAAGTGCACTCTTAATCAAACCGTGTCATGATGCACCGTGACGTCAAATAACGCCATGATGCAACATGTGTTTCATATGTTCTTAATGCTGAGTACAAGCTAGTGATGATCGAACACTCTTTGCATTTTCAAGCATTCTGTCTGCAGGTGTTGTTATTCACCAGTAATGCTGCCCAAAGTAGACAATACAGCTTTTTATATCAATATGTGGATAGGAATAATGCATATTAGGCTGCAATTGGTTTTGTTTGTATTAGTTTGAATGAATCTATTGATCTTCTGTAATGTCAGAAAAAGACCCATTTTATAGACATCCAGTCAAACAGACAAAGCAAATTCTGACATTGAAGAGCAGAGTCACAGCAGGTCGGAATGCTTGTTTTATTCATTGTTTTTAGCACTCGTACCTTTCCTATGTTAGTGTTGTCCAGCGCAGCGTCCACCTCGTCCAAGATGAAGAAGGGAGCAGGACGGAAGCTGAAGGAGGAAACACAAACATCGCAGATTCAGTGAACCAGCAATGGGTTCAAATGTTTGAGCCAAAGCCATTAAAAGCTAATATATAACGAGTGCCTAAAAAAAACAAGATAAAACCTGGAGTTTGTTACTGCAAAAGAAAATAAGACTCAGCACAAGTGTCACTTTAGAAGATGGTTTGTTGCATTCAGTCAATGTTGTGAGAGATGAGATCTAGAGGCCTTCAAAGGCTGTTCATCAGTTTAAAGAGTCTACTGGCTTTACTCCCCCGAGAGCTTGTGAAACATGTGTCGTGGTGTTTCACCAGCTGTGCTAATTCATTTTCTTCTGCTCTTATTTTATCGCTGTGGGAGCGAATTGTCAAGCTGTCCAGCTAACACAGATTTAGTTAAGTGATCTTGGGGAAATGGGATTTTGGTTAAATTCAATCCGTCCTTACAGATTTATTATTCTGTTTCTTCTACTTGTTATTTGGTGCTTTTAGCTAAAGTTGCCTTCTGCTTTTACACTTTCCCCAATTATGATATCATTTTCAACATAACTTATTTGTGTTGTCCAATATAACAATTCACAAATATGCCTCAGAGGGATTTTTACGGCATTAAAACATTCTCTTTCCTTGGATTGGAAAAGGCAAAAGTAAACCAGTGAATTAAAATGGCATTACGTCATGTTTTGTGTGTCTTGTGTTCTACATAGTTGTCCAGTCTGAATGATTCACCTGTGGATGGCAAACAACAGTGCGAGGGAAGCGATGGCCTTTTCGCCCCCGGACAGGTTGTCCATGGACATGAAGCGTTTCCCCGGCGCCACGCAGTGGTAGTTGATGCCTCCCAAATACGGCTCGTCCGGGTTCTCTGCACTCAGCATGGCCTGGAGCACAAAAGGCAGGAGCTGATCACTTAATGGAGGAGAAGTATGTGTAGGTCGCACTGTTTAGGCTTGATCTGTCATGTTAGTAACTTGGTGCCCAACTTTTAATACTATAATGTAAGCGCATCACATCTGAAGAGCAGACAAACCCTGCTGGTTGGTTTTGTTTTAGCAGTAAAAACGGAGAAAGGTGAGGTTTTGTTGCTTCACCTGGGCGCTGCTGTTCCTGCACATTCTTTTGTAGATTTGATCGATCACGACGCAGACGTGTTCGAAGCACCGGTTGAAGAGCCATAAGCGTCGGCCTTTGACTTGCTCAAACTCCTGAATGCATTTCCTGGCTGCTTTGGCGCTGTCGTTGAACGCTGTCCGAGGGAAAACAAAGCTGACTCAGCGGTACGGGTGCTTTAGTTATCGCACGTCAACTCGAGCGATTCAAATAAATAATATATTGTGTGAATTAAAGTAACCGGATAAATTGAATGACGACGTACCATCGGTCACTTCCTCAAGCTTGTCCTTCACGTCCTTCATCTTGGCCAGAGCTTTCATGTTTGGGACTGAGGTGTGACACAGCACTCGCTTTATGGAGGACACAGACTTCTCCAGCTGCTCCAAGAAGGCCTCCACCTCCTCCTCTGCCTGCAGACTCTGCCCACACACGCACACAGACACAATTCAAGGCATGTTACAGGTGCATGTCTGGCATCAAAGGGGGGAGATGGGGGACAATGATCAGGCTTGAGGTCTCCACCCTGAGTTCTGGCTCCAGGCTGGAGTAGTCGACGACTAGTTGTGCCTCTCTCTCGTAGATGCTTAGGGTGGCCGAGGTGCTTTCGGATTCTGTGTCCAGCTGCGCAGTGGAGGGAGAGAGAGAGAGAGAGAGAGAGAGAGAGAGAGAGAGAGAGAGAGAGAGAGAGAGAGAGAGAAACCAGCTATCAGGTGAGACTGAGCCCAAAAAGTCCTCAAGTCACTTTATTACTTTTTCTTTCGGGCTTCTCAGACGTTCCCTCTAATGTCAGAGGGTTTCTAAAGCTTATTTAATTACATTGTTATTTTCAAAATATGATAATTTTAACTTGAATTAATATCCAGTACTTCAAAGAGTTATTGAACAGGGTTACCTGCACCTCGCTGATCTCATCCAGGCTCCCCGACAGCAGAGTAACGGGCAGACTCTGGATCTTACAGGCCAGCAGCATGTTGTGTCTGAAAAGGCGCTTGCGCTCCAAGGCCGTCTCTGCGGACATTACCTCCCGCTGCAGCTTCACCATCTCTCTGCCAAAAAGGTCGGGGTGAAGAAAACGAGAAGCCCGAGCGGATTAGAATATTATTACCACAGAGAGAGAACATCTCTATAGGGTCAGGGATAGAAAGTAGAGACGGATACTCGCCAAGTTATTGAAATGTCACTGAGTACAGGGGAAAAGGGCTCAAAGTAAATTCGTCTTCCTGAAGGATTTCGTCATTTGGAAATGGATCTCAAAGCATCTTCTGTGTGACGCTGCCAAGTCAAGACACATTTTACATCCACGTCTGTCCAAAAATGTCTTCAAGTCTTCTTCTGCTGCTGCTGCAGCGGTAACGCTGCTAGAGGTCCTGGACTGTCGGCGTTTGGTTTAACCCACGGCGCCTTAGTAGATGGCCAGAAAGATTCGTCGTGTTTCCGTGGTTTTTTATTTGGCTTTTACATATTCTACAAACAGCGACCGACTTATTTAGAACACCTCCGTGTTTGCAAAAGCCAAAATGTTTCCACAAGTTGGTTTGTAAATGTCTTGCTCGCAATCGCAGTAACCCTCCTCCACGCTGTGTGTTGTTGTTGTTGTTTCCGAGTTTCGCGCGGCTGCCGCTGCGTACTGATGACGTCACAGACAGGCTGAATCGATTAACGTTTAACGTGTCTGAAGTGCTAAAAAATAAACAAAACCAATGTGCAGTTTCCAAGTATCGACACAAATTGATGATGTACCATTTCAATCGATTTGTAATCGATATATGTCGTCCGGAATGCCGATTTGCTGAGCACAGATTGATTCAGTTGGATCGCAAGAATATAAATCAATTAATCAATTCAGTGGATGAATCGTGACACCCCTAATTGTTACATTACAACACTTGACGCTTGATATTAATATTCGAGCTGGACTTTAAGCGAGTCATCGTCTTACAATCTAAACACGTTTGACTTTGATCAAGCAGAACTAAACTGGCAGGAGTTTTGCACTTGTAACATGTAAGTCTTTGTTTACATACGGCTCTCATGAAATGAGCCGTTTGTGAAGAGTATTTTAGTTACTTATTGATTTCTTTGAGGCTCCGGGTGT